AGAGAGAGAGAGAGAGAGAGAGAGAGAGAGACAGAGACAGGATCCCAAGCAGGCTCCACACTGTCAGCACAGAGTCCCATGTGGGGCTTGGATCTCATGAACAGTGAGATCATGACCTGAGCTGAAATCCAGAGTCAGATGCTTAACCAACTGAGCAACCCAGGCGCCCTCTGAGCTGGTCTGCCAGAGACCTAATAACCAGTGCCTCCCCCAAGGGGAGGCCCCACAGAAGCTCGGTGACTGCTCTGGTGCTGGCCCTGACTTTGGTTCCCTAGCTTCCTCCCAACGCATGTGCCCTCGCCCTTTGAGTCCAGACGGTCACGGCAGGCGGGAAGCAGCTTTGCCTGGTGTGTGGCGTGATCCACACGCTTGGTTCCTGGCCCCAGAATTCGTCACTTTAAAATTGTGCTCTGCAGTTTGCAAAGTGCTTTTAGGTCTGCAGGTGCATTAAATCCTCCCAAAAGCACCGTAAAGTAAGCATCATCCCCAGTTTACAGAAAAGGAAACAGCTCATTTGACTTAGGACATAAATAGTTCATATACGTGCTGGAGGTGGGTGCCAGGGACTTTAAATTAAAACAGGTGACTATTATAAAGATGGAGCATAGAGATGGCAAAGGACTTTTTTATTGAAGAATAAGGTGTCAGTCAGCTATTGCCACAGTAATGCTGCACACCACAGCATATCAGTGTCCAGGAGCTTCAGACGATAATTTTTTTCCTCTTGCATGCATCTTGAATGGCTAGGCCTCACTTCAGGCTCCAGGCTCTGGGTATAGCTTAATCTGTTCCATGTATATATAATTTTGGGAATCAGGCCACAAATGCAGCAGCTCTCTGAGCTATATCTTCTCATGACTATGGGAGGAAACCGAGAGGGCAAAACCAAACTTCTGGAACACTTTTCCTGTCTCTGCTCATATCACGCCACCTAATCTCCTATTGGCCCAAACAGGTCACATGGACAAGCCCAACATCAATAGGGCAAGGAAGTATACACTGTCCCTAGGGGAGAGACAGCAAAGGATTAAGGAAAATAATGCTATCTACCACGTGTCACATACATCAGAAAAACGCCCAAGTCAGTCATAAGCGCAATGAACTTTTATAAGATGCCACACCCGTGTACCATCATCCATATGAAAACATAGAACATTATCGCTACCCCAGAAGTCTCCCTTGCACTCCTCACCATGGTGACTGGGATGTGCCAATCACTCTTCACCCCTGCAACCTAACCACTCTTCTGACATCTAGCATTATAGACCAGTTTTGTTTATTTTTTAGACTTTCATAAATGGAATCATACGGTCCCTGCTCTTTTGGGTCTGGCTTCTTTTGTTCAACACTATGCTAGTGAGTGTCATCTATGGTATTGTGAGTTGCAAAGATTTCCTCATTTTCACTGTTATGTCTATTCCATTCTATGAATGTAACCACTGTGCTTGAAGGACATCAGAGTTGTTTCCGGTTTGGCCCTATTGTGAACAATACAGCTACTAACATTCTCGTGCATGCCTTTGGGTGGACATTCCTTTCTTTTCAGTATATACCTAGGAGTAGAATTGCTGGCTCATAGGATGGGGATATATTCAACTTTTATTGATACTGACAAATAGTTTTCCAAAGTGGTCATACCATTTTGCATGCTAACCAGCAGCGGTGAATTCCGGTTACGGAACCTAAGAATTTAAAGCCGTTATGTTGTGCTTAGTCTTCCTTAGGCCTGTGATAGCAACCTTGCAGGCAGGCATAGGATACTAAGCACTTTGTTATACTATTTCATTTAATTCTCACAATGACTCTAAAATCTTGACACTGTCTCCAGTTTACAGATGAGAACGGAGACTCTGAGATAGCCAAGGGAAACAGTTCCCACACCGCACACACACACACACACACACACACACACACACACACCCCGTGGAGCCCACCCTGGGTGTGGAGGGAGTGAGGACCTATACACACACCTGACCAGCACAGCTCCGGGGACAGGTGGCACCCAGGGCTAAGCCATCCGCGGGGGATTGTTGTCACAATTCAATGAGCAATGGCTATGTTGTAACTACTTCCCAAGTGAGATCAGGGAGCAGACAGCTTCAGTTCTGAGTGTTCGGACAGCTGCTGAAGTGCATCAGTGGTCTCTGTGTCCCGAGGCCTCACCAGCCACCGGACATCTTGAGTTCCTCAAAAGCCGGGGCAAAGGTTTTCTATCTGCAATGTGAGTTTACAAGTTTACCTCTGGTTGAAGTTTCTGTCCGCAGAGCTATCTCATACCAACACAGCTCTCAGCCGTGAATCTGCTCAATGATCATCGTTTCTTCCTAAACCCTCCACGGCCTTCGACATACTACCTCTTCTAGCTGGTCTTACTCTGGGCTGAACTTCCTGCATTTTCAGTATCTTGCTCAGGCAGTATCCACTCGCCTCTTCCCTCTTCCTCTACGCTCCCGGCTGCCACAGGGATGACCTATTATCATTTCACAGCATTCCCCTGTATATCATCAGGCCACCTGGCTAATGGTTTTTTGGCACTTTTTAAAAACTTTCTTTCTCCAGAAGAACCTGTTCATGAAGCGTGCGTCTCTATGCACCTGCTTACCGCAGTATCCCCATTCAGATTTACAAAACAAGTTTGAGTGTTAAAAGCAATCCTTGCTAGGCCTGGAAAATGTCCTCCTCAGTTCCTAAAAGCATTCTTTCGATTCATTCATGTAGTGTTCTTCCACTGAGTGCCATCTGTGTGCCAGGTGGTGTTCTGATGCCAAGGGTCCGGGAGTGGAAAGGGCACAGGTGCCCTTTGCTCTGAAGCAGTTGCCAGTTCTAATGGGCTGAGGCTGGGGAGTCAGACAATACAGAATAAACGAACAAAGGCTTTATCGATTTGAAATAGTGCTATTTATTTCAAGCAAATAGAAGGCCACTAGGAGGGGATAGCAACCCCTCTGTTTAACACAGATGCCACCCCACGGTTCAGATTGCTTTCCGAAGGGTGATGGGGACAGCTAGTGGTGCTAATGGCTGTGAGCAATGGCATCTCATGTTCCGGGCCGCTCTCCACTTCTGTCCCAGAAACAAAGCCATAGCTTTCATATTTCCATTCCTTCCGGTCCCTGTCTTGTGCCTG